GGTCCCGTTAAGGTTTTAATCTCGGTTCCCGTTCCGGTTCCCTGTCCGCCGGTTCCGACCCGGCCTTCGTGTTTTAATTCCGCGTTCTGATGGATCTCCTGGTTTTGGACTAACCCTTGTGTTTTGGATTCTCTCCAAGGACTACTCTTTTGGATTGTTCGCCTCGGCCACACCTCCCCCGTTCACCAGCGCACCTTGGACACGCCCCCCTGTCTTCAGCTCCGTATTCCTGCATGACGTTTTCCCAGTGTCTCCCCACTTCTTCGTATTGTGTCGTCCGCATAGGGTCCGGAAAGAACTGTTCGTTACACTACAATTAGAAGCAAATTCCTGTCCATAACAAAAAATCACTGTTTCCTCAGTAATGGCATCATTTACATTTGCAGTGCTATTGACTTTCATTTAATTGATGCCCTCTGTAAAACCAAATTACCTTCAGAGAGAAGAGCTGAAACAGGAGATTAGTGTACATTGGAAAAAGATTTGTTGCTGTTGTGAAAATATTTCTTGCGTTACCGTGTTTTGCAGGTCTCTGTTGCCACCATACGGATAAAAAGTAGCACTGAGTTAGAATTGCTGGTGTTGAATTCCTGCATTTCCAATTTCTCTGAGGTAGGAAGCATCTTCATACTATTTATGTCATTTAGTACATGTTGGAACTACAGAAGGTGGTAATAATGGCTACTCATAGTAACTGTAATGTGTTTGACACCAGATTAGGTACATGTCAATGTTACAAGCCTAAATGATGGGACAATCTGGATCCAAGTCTATTTTCCTGTGATTTAGAACGTTAACATTCCCTTGGTGTTTAAATTTGTCTATAGAAACATATAAAATGCTGATCATTATGATAACTATTTTTAAGGATATCTCTGATTAACCAAATGTAAGTGGAGAGAGCTATTGTTTGATTACAAAATCTAGTGCAGGAACTCCCAGCACCAGTCTTTGAGGCCTGCAGTACAGTAGAATTTATAAGTGTCTTTAAATCAGGTGGCTACCTTAAGAACTACTGACTTAACTGTTCTCCAATTAAGCCAATAATCAGTTCAATTTTTGTTGCGAAAAATTGAGCTTAAAGGAAAACCTGCACACACAGTGGTCACTCAAATGACCCAGTTGGGGCTGTGGGAATATGGAACAAGCTACCTTATTCATGACAATGGTGGAGATCCTTGCATAAATTTGTTTTTAGCTACCCAAAGCGTCAGATGGACAAAATAGGCTACTGTCATTGGTAACCTTTCTTATGTTCATATTTTCAGGACTGGAGTTAGTATAGGTATTACTGTGTGAAAACATTAATAGAAGAAAAGCAGATTGTAGAATACCGAACCTTAATTTAAAATAAAAATAGCTCATAAATCATTACCACATTGACTTTGTTACATACATTTATTTGATATGTTGGTGTTATTGCCACTAACAACATGAATTAAATTGGATTCCAAACTATCCTTTTTCAATAAATTTAGATTGGGCCTTAGAGCCATTTTGAAAAATGTTTATTAATAAGTTTTTGTGGGATTTCAAATGGAACAATGATAAAACTGTTTATTTACTTGTATGATAAACAACTATAAGAAAAACATCTTCTTGATTTAAATATATATAATATTGCTAAATTAAACACATTATATGCTATATAGATATTGCAAGGAAAGGCTATCCAAAAAAATATCACCTATATGCAGGGCCGTCTCAAGGGGTGGGCAGGCCCCAGGTTGGGGGGGTTCTTGTGTGTAGTGGTGGCGGTGAAGAGCAGCGTTTAGGTGATGAAATAGCTACCTGACTGGCCTGCGCAAACAGACATACTGAACCAAACACAATTACTAATCGCCATTGTCGCTAATGCTATCAGTGCCTTCAGGTGTCTCAATGCTAGCATCCTTGTCATGGTCGAGATCACCACCCATGTCCGTTTCTTCTTTGCTCCTGGTTTTTAGAGCGAACCTTTCCAAAGACCCTTTTAAGTGCCACATTTGCATCCTTCCTTTTCTGCTTCCTTTTTCTCTTCTTGCACCCTCTACAGTATTTTCGGAATTTGTCCCTATCTCTGCTTGTGCTTGCCAGTTTTTCTAAACTTTTTCCCAAGCTAGTTTAGTTCTGCCGCAATCACTTTTAGTTGGCAACTGATGGCCTATGATGTACAGTAGTTAGTGCGGGACACACCTCCAGTCCTGAATAAAACATCTGCTCTCCCACTAACTTTAGATTTCATCTTGAGTTAAAATAAATGTGTGTCGCTTTATTAAAATATTTAAACATGAATGTATTTATATTTCTATGTGAGTGTGTGAAGTGGGATTGGGGCTTGCTGGCTCTGGGCCCCCCAAAGCACATGGCCCTGGATGTCCACCCCCTTTGCCCTCTCGTTTGAGACGGCCATGCCTATATACCCATAAAAATAGAAACACCCATAAAAATGCATCCATGAAAGCACCTATAAAACAGGGCTACCCAGAGCCTACAGGTCACCTATCCATCCTTGACTTGAAAGTCAATTAGTAAGGATTTCAGTGGGTCACCTTTAACCCAAAGAGGGGTAATTAAGCATTAACAGACTTATTTTGGCCTCCTGCTATCTGCTATCTGCTATCTGCTATCATATTTCTTTTCAGCTACAGTACTTCCATCTGTTTCAGCAGATCTTCCAGCACTGCAATCATACTCATCACACCAGACTCAGACTTATCAGGGCAGACCCAAAACTGATCCCTTAACCACCACAAAACTGTGTGCAATCTCAGAATCTCTAATTTCAGAAACTAACCAGCCATGAATGCCCGAGACTGGAAATGATGAGCTGTGGTGAAGAAAATAAAATGTATTTTGCATCCTTAGTTCATAGTGAGGCAGCTGGGACAAGACCTCATGGAAATTGTTCATTTTCCTCTATAGGTCAAATAACATGGAGCGGAAACAGAGCAGGGAACTGCTGGAAGAGGCAGCCCAGGAGCAGTCAGTGGATGTCCTTAATAGTGGATTTTTACTACCTAAATCATTATTTGACAAAATGTATGAGCATCAGGAAAAAGGACTGGCTTTCCTTTATGAAGCATACAAAAAAAATAAAAAGGGAGTGATTTTAGCTGATGACCCCGGTTTGGGAAAAACTGTCCAGATTGTTATGTTTTTGGCCGGATTGAAAAACATGAAGCAGATTAAATCTGTCCTGCTTGTGATGCCCGTCAGCCTGCTGGAGAACTGGATTGAAGAGTTAACAAAATGGACACCGGATATAAATTTCTTTACCTTTCATACCACAAACAAAGATCGAGTAAGGAATTTGAACGAAGTGAAGCAAACAGGAGGTGTGCTCCTAATCACATACAAAATGTTACTTACTAACTTGCAGACATTCTCCACCAATAACGAAGAAGCATTTGTTTGGGACTGTGTGATTTTTGATGAAGCTCATGAGATCAAAAACCGATCTAGCAAGAGCTTTAAAGCAGCAGATGTGATCCCAGCAAAGAATCGGTTTCTGCTCTCTAGTGCACCAGTACAGAACAACCTCCAAGAGCTGTGGTCTTTGTTTCACCTCGCCTGCCAGGGAAGTCTCCTTGGTACGTACCCAAGCTTTAAAAAGTTGTACGAGAATCCAATAATGAGAGGAAGGGAGAAGCATGCCAGTCCCTCAGAGAAAGCACTGGGTCTGAAGATATCAGAGAGCTTGACAGAAGTGATAAAGCCCTACTACCTTAGGAGAACAAAAGAAGACATT